GCTTTCGTATATGGCACCTAGAGTGGAATAATGGGAGCAACATCCCGAGGACACTGCTCGAGGGACACAAAACACGAGAGCGCCCGCCGGCAACACGACCGGGAAAGAAGCCTAGGCGACGAGCGCAAGGCTCTACTACTGCCAACGCTGGTGGTGACGACGACGACAGCGGGGGAGATGGCGGCGGCAGCGGTGTTGGCGAGAGTACTGCTGGGAGTGAAGGCGACGTCGCCGAAATCGAGGCTGGCAGCGTGTCCAGGTGATCAGAGGTGCATGGAGGTGTAAGCAATGGGTTGTGGCCAGGAGGGTGGCTATGTCCAATGCAATCAATTGATACCACATTTTTATATTTGTTTCATTGGCTATAATAAATGAAATCACTGCTGCTGGCCGTGTGCAATGCCACAAAAAACGGGATATAGATAAAAAGGTCACTGCTTATGTTTTTTTGTCAAGCATAAGCTGGTAAGCAGATCTCAATCGCTTACATAAGCTCCCTTTAAGTTGGAGATGCCGGCACTATACCCTCATGTATATTTTATACACCGCCCCAACCCGCACGTCAAAATTCGAAATTAGAAGGGAACTCTTACAAATTCTCATATTACTGTTTATGGGACGGAGTAAAAATATACCCTCGTAATAAAGCCTGGGAACTAAAGGGTTTTTCTTAAATTATTTTAAAATATGCTTCAAATAGAAATTATAAAATTAAACTTTAAAGAAAACAGAAATACTAACCCTTTACTTTAGGGCACGTGTTGCTGCAACCGCCTGGAAGCCGTAAGACGGGACAAAAGTACCCGACCAACGCCCGACTGCACCGACGGGTACCCGACTAGGTAGTCAAAAGCCAGTTTGTCCACCCTTTTTACGTGACAGCGTATATACGCGTGTTTTTTAGGCCTGCCAGCAGTCGTTTATCTTCTTCCACGATGAAGCACGGGTCGATCTCAGTCCCAAAATCAAAAGTCGTAGCCCAGACAGTAGTTTTGTCAATCTGAGCAATAGCATCCATCGCTCTGTGATAGTTCCTCATTGTAGTCAGTGCTCCAGCTGTAAACACACCAATACTTGGCACTTCAAGAAGTATATCCACCTCTCGGAGACCGTAATTCTTCCCTTGGAAGGCCGATAACTTCTTGCTGCACTTACGCAGCATCTTTAGTAAGAATTCGCGATATATCTTCGTCTCTTAGTACCGTCTTCTTCCGTGATAGTTTGCTTTTTTGGTGGACAATAGGCTGCTTGGTTTTTTTCTCTTTCTCCAAAATAAAACAGCGATGTTGTCTCTGCAGAATTGAATGTGTGGTCTTCATGTAATAGAGCGGAGAGCACCGACAAATCCAGCTTCATGTGATGCATGTTTGAATCGTGGTGAACTTTGGAGATTTCGCGATTCTTCTTGGCTTTCTTTGCGGATGCTTTCTGCTTTGGCCTACCACGCGGTCGGACTGGACTTGCAATTTCAAAATCATCCGTAGTTTCGACTGGCTCTGTAGCGCTGTGAGTATTTAACAGCTGTACAACTGCGCTCGATGTTCCAGACTCAGTCGGTTGCAGCTCGTCCGTAGTCGGGCATAGGTGGGGCACAGTCGGGGGCTGATTTAACTCAGTCGAGGGAAGTATTGGATTCCCCGGCGGTTCATCTGTCACAGTCATCGGCTCTGGCAACGGAGCTGAGAATTCCTCGAGCTCCGGTGGCTCGAACTCAATCGGGAACTCGTCAGACTCAGTCGAGAGCTCGTCAGACTCAGGCGGGGGCTGCTCGGGCTCCGGCGGAATCTCTTCAGCCTCGGGCGGGGGAGCATCAGATTGTAGCTGAGTCTGAACACATTGAGTGTCTGAAACTAGGCGATCAATTTCATGAAACTGTCGGTGCTTGAAAAGTTCAGCGACAGTATTCAACAGTCGAAGAGCATCTCGGTACTCACGCATTCCAAGACTGCTCATTGTACTCGTGATAGCGTTTGCGACTTGGTTAGCTTCGCGGAACTTGCGATTAGCATCCCAAGTATTTAGCTCGGGTCTAACAATCCGTCGTATGCGAAAAGACTTATCGGGTATGGTGGGAGCTGTAAATGATGCTCGTAATGTTGACAGCAACCATCTCGGATGTAGCTGAGCCGGGATTATAGTCTCCTTTTGCAATGCTTTGCGCAAGTATAACACGTGTCTACAAGGAAGTAACCGTGTACTCATGAACATACACGAACATCGCCAATTCCCCGTGTCCACATTGTACTCTTGATTGAGTTCGTCCAACGCATCGTCGTCGTGAGTCGTGTTCTTGATAAACATCACACCAGGAATTCCTTCGTAGAAACTGTATGTAGCACGCCCAACTGCATATGCGTACTGTTCAAAAATTAAATTGCAAGCGTGCTCGCTGACTAGATTTGATACGTACTGCAATTCTTTGTCGTATGGGCGTGGTGGATAACGCCAATCTTGAACATTCGATTTACGAAATCTTTTTCTGCGAGCGATTGGTAGTACATCAAGGACTCTATACATTCGTTCAGCTGTATGAAAGAGTTCACGATGTCTTTAATTTGCTTCCACGAGGCCTCTAGACGATTGTTCGTGTTGTTTCCCAGCGTGACAGCGTTTTGGCGTTTGTAGGAGCACCATTTGCTTCTGCAATTATCCCAATTTCGTTTGAAATACGATTCGAAGGGATGCAGTCTCGCGTCTAGGTGATCCTCCTCCTCTTCGTCTTCGCGTTCAACCACACCGGAGTCGCAACCGACAGGCTCTACACGATGCCCGACTGCGTCTGCAGTGTGCCTGACTGAGTCGGTAGTGTGCCCGACTGGAGCAGTATCTCGCTCAACGCCTCCCACAGTGATGAATTGGTGCATGTAACGTCGGTGCTTGTTGTACTCTCTCTCGCTTTTGCATACACCAACAGGGGGACGATACCTCTCAACTGTTCTTTCTGCCACGGAGTAAACCCGTACTCGTCGGCCTTGGCGATCTCCTCGGATAGGTACTTAATTACGTGGAACTGGCAGAGTAGAATCTTAGCCCCAGGGAAAGCCGCCTCCAGCACACTCGTTTCGGTAAAGTCCTTGTCTATGATGACACACTGCAGCCGCTTCGTAGCAGGATTGTTTAATTTTAATTCTTCGATGGCTGCTTCCAGGGTTTCCTTCCGCTCATTCTGGACTAAGGCGTGCTGCACGTACTGCCCTTTACCAAAGGTGTCATGAATCATGAAGGAAAATATCCTTGTACTTCGGTACGTTTGTTCCGTGTGTAGCATCGATAAGTAAGACCTCCTGAAAACGATCGTTCAGATACCGCATGTGTTTTGTCTGCATTGTTATGCACGTAGCAATTTTCTGAAACAACAAAAGGATAATAAGCGGTGTTATGAGTAAATATCTGCTCGATCATCGTTTACCTTGCTTTGTTGTGCCTCTACAAAAATTCTGCCCGCGTTGCCGTTTTCTCCACAGAAATCCATCATCCACGCTTTCAAACGTTGAGCACTAGTTGTTGATTGGGTTGATTGATTCTTCAGCTTTCGTACCAGATTGTGTACATCCCTTATCGTCGGTGGACAGTCGTAATTCTCAGTAATAAACTGGTGAATGCTCTTCTTTCCTGCACCGGCCTTTTGTAGAACCCCCACGGTTTGCAGAACACTCTCCTCAACTGCTGTTCGGTTAATTGGGTAGTTTTGATACGTTGTCGAATCAACCAAGTGATTATGGGTCGTTTTCATCTTCGTAATACATACAACAAACTTGTGAACTGATTTATCCACTTCTCGAACGCAGGCATTAATCTAAAAGACATTACAACGTTAGTGTGCTAGTAGTATCCGCCAGCACCCGCCAGCACCCGCCAGCACCCGCCAGCACCCGCCAGTGGAAGGCTTACCTGTGTAGGACACTCGTTCGAGCGAGACTCTTGACGTGCTCTCTTGCCCTTCCCACGCGGCTTGGACTTTCCGGCGTGGGTGCACATCAGCGTCTTGGCGTACCATACCCATGTCTCCGGAAAAGGTGTAGATTTGGAGCCTGCACGCTGGATAACGGCGTTTCTTTCGCCAACCTTCTTGTTTGTTCGAAGTCTGAGCACCTGGATATCAATAGGCTTGTTAGAGAAGGTCATATACTAAGCAGACCAAATACACCTTACCTGGTACGTTTCTGCTTGGTATGTGCGGATGTACGTGTCGAACGCATCCCACGACTCGAAGACGGTGCGGCCAGGAAGGGGAGGAGTCGAATGCTGAGGAAGAAGGTCTTCCGAGCGGCTTGATTTGCCTGAATGCTTCGTCGAACTCGACGTCGTGCCTAGCGCGAGCTCGCTTCTGTCACTAACGCTGTTCTCGTCATCTACGTTGTAATCGCTGTCACTGTCCGATTCAGGGGGCACACGTTTCCGCGCCGACCGTCGCATTCGCTCCGCCGGGTTCATTTGCTTCCGTCGAACGGGGGGCGGGAATGCGTAATGAGTGGTCCGCATACACGTATGCATACACGTATACGTCGTTCGGATAGCTGGGAGGTCCGGAGCGATTAGAGATAAGAGCGTTCGTCGAGCGTCCATTTTTTCAAATCCTGAAGAGTCTCCACAGGCGGAACTTCCAAACACTCTTAGCCCTTTGTTTCTTCGTCTGCTGCTCCATCCGTTGGTTTTAGAGCTACTGTCACTGTTTTAAGGGGCAAAGGAGGACGATTCAAAATTAAACCCAGAGCTGAATTTTGAAACCAGTCGTTTGGAGCTATCCTGCTGGATGTCATTTTTTGTGTTTCTTAGCGGAATAAAGCTGGTTGAGACATTCCAGCTCTTTAATAACAATTACAGCTGGTTTTAGACTTTAATGCACGTTTAACTTTTCAAACATAAAAAAGTAATATCTAGAGTACCTCGAAGTATTAATTATACTACTTACAAAGTGTGGTGCACACTACACTTTGCTTGAAACGTGGCGTCGGCTCGTAGATCCCATCTAGCACGTTCCCTTATTTCTTGGCGTGACGATGCAGCAGGGAGGCTACGGCGGCTACGACCAACAGCAAGGCGGCTACGGCCAGCAACAGTACGACCAGCAACAATACGCTCAGCAGGAAGGCTATAACCAGCAACAAGGAGGGTATGATCAGCAGCAGTATGGTCAACAGAGCGGCTACGACCAGCCTGGCCAGCAGCAACAAGGAGGATACGATCAGTATGGCCAGCAGGGTGGCTACCAGACCGGAATGCAGCCCCAGGAATGGGATTTCCACGCCATGGAGGCCAAGGACGGCGTGCGCTTCTCGTGGAACTCGTGGCCCTGCACCAAGCTGGAGCAGACGCGATGCGTTATGCCCACAGGCTGTCTGTACCAGCCACTGAAGCCTATTGACGGCATGCCCCCCGCTGTAGAGTACGATCCTATCCACTGCAAGGCCTGCGCCGCTGTGCTCAACCCCTTCTGCCAGGTGGACTTTGTCTCGAAGCTGTGGGTGTGCCCGTTCTGCGTGACGCGCAACCATTTCCCGCCGCACTACGCGGAGAACATCACGCAGGAGAATCTGCCAGCTGAGCTCATTCCGCAGTACACGACGCTCGAGTATGAGCTGCAGAACCGCCAGGCTGGACCCCCCGTCTTCGTCTTCTGCATCGACACGTGCGTCCCCGAGGAGGAACTCGAGGAGCTCAAGGACTCCATCCAGCAGACACTCAATCAACTTCCGCCTGACGCGCTCATCGGTCTCGTTACCTTCGGCACCATGGTGCACGTGCACGAGCTAGACTTCCCGGAGGTGCCCAAGTCGCACGTCTTCCGTGGCAACAAGGACTTCACAGCGCAGCAAGTGTACGACATGTTGGGTCTGGCTGCGACACGCAAGCAACAGCAACAGCAGATGCCGGGCCAACCCCAGCAACCTCAGCAGCAGACGAGCAACTCGGCTCGTTTCCTACTTCCGGTGTTCGAGTGTGGCTTCACGCTCGAGTCCATCCTGGAAGATCTCCAGCGTGATCCGTGGCCTGTGGCTGCTGACCAGCGCCCGCAGCGATGCACGGGTGTAGCCATGTCGGTGTGTGTCGGACTGTTGGAGGCGACGTTCCGTGGCCAGGGTGCTCGCATCATGATGTTTGTCGGTGGCCCCCCTACGGTAGGCCCGGGTGCTATCGTCAGCCGCGACCGCAAGGAGGATATCCGCTCGCACACTGATCTGCAGAAGGACAAAGCTCCTCTGACCAAGAAAGCTCTGGTACATTACAACGACCTGGCTGCCCGCTGTGTGGCTTCGAGTCACGTGGTGGATATCTTTGCATGTGCTCTCGATCAGAGTGGCGTGATGGAGATGGCAGCATGCGTGCAGAAGACTGGCGGTGTGATCGTGCTTGCTGATTCTTTCGGCCAGTCTGTCTTCCGTGAGTCATTCCGACGCATGTTCAGCAAGTTCTCGGACGAAGCAGCGGATTGTGATAAGGACCAGCTCACGATGGCCTTTGCAGCCTCGGTGGAAGTGTTGACGAGCCGCGAGTTCAAGGTGGCCGGTGCTATTGGTCCTTGCGCGCCTCTGAAGCGCCAAGGAGCAGCCCCCAAGAACGTGTCCGAGGTTGAGATTGGCGTCGGTGGCACCAACGCCTGGTCGATGGGCGGCATTGATCCCAACACCACTGTAGCCATTTACTTTGATATTGCCAACCAGACTCCGCTGGCGCCGGGCAAGGCGCGCTACATCCAGCTGATCACGCGCTATCAGCACGCTAGCGGGCGTTACCGTACGCGCGTGACCACAATTTGCGGTCCTTGGACTGTAGACCCGAACGACACCGCTACACTGGGCCGTGGCTTTGATCAAGAGGCCGCCGCTGTGTTGCTAGCGCGTATTGCCGTGCATCGCTCGGATCAGGGTGAGGAGCAGCTTGACATCATGCGCTGGATCGATCGGTCACTCATCCGTCTGGCCGCCCGCTTTGCTGACTACCGCAAGGATGATCCTTCCTCGTTCCGTCTTTCGCCTGAGTTCGCTATCTTCCCGCAGTTCATGTTCCACTTGCGTCGTTCGCAGTTCTTGACTGTGTTTGGTTACTCGCCCGATGAGAGTGCGTACTACCGTCACTGTCTGCTGCGTGAGAGCACGACGAACTCACTGGTGATGATTCAACCGTCGCTGCTCTCGTATTCGTTCAATGGCCCGCCCGTGCCGGCGCTGCTGGACGCTGCAAGCGTTCGGTCCGACACGATCCTGCTGCTAGACTCGTTCTTCTACGTTGTAGTCTTCCACGGTGACACCATCGCCGCGTGGCGTGACCAGAAGTTCCACGAAGACCCCGCACACGAGAATTTTAAGAACTTGCTGGAGGCTCCGCAGGCTGACGCACAGCTTATCATGGATTCTCGCTTCCCGGTTCCTCGGTACGTGGTGTGCGACCAGCACAAGTCGCAGTCGCGTTTCCTGATGGCGAAACTCAACCCGAGCGTCACGCATAACAGCATGGATGGCCAGGGTGAGGTCATCTTCACGGACGACGTGAGTCTGAAGGTGTTCATGGAACACTTGATGAACCTGGCTGTTAAATCGTAGAGAAGACCAGGATCATGATTCGGTAGGTGGCGAACAGATACACACACGTAAATGAATGATTGACGCATGTCATGGCTTGGAATTTATGATATATCTACCGATTTGCAATGGATAACGCGCTAGGATATCTTCGATAAGAACAGGCAGTAATACGTGTTGGTGACCGCTAGCCTGGAGTTGAAGTGCTGGCTTGTCCAATGGACAAACAATTTGACGCTCCTAATCGTAATTACATGAACTGGATGATTCAGTCTGGATCCGCGTTCTGCTGCGAATGCAATGAAGTACAGTGAGCTCTGCTCCTCCAATCGTTGCTACAGCACTCAGCGGCGTGAGTAACTGTGTATCGCGTGGCTTAGTAGCCTACTTAAGCCTTAGGCTTAGTAGTCTACTAAGCCTTGAGATCCACGCGATACACATTTAGTCACGCTGCTGAGTGCTGTAACAACTACTAATAGTAGTTGTAACTTTCGCCACAGGATTGCTCACCACTGCGACAAACTACTTCACTCAAGACTTGAGTCAAGTTGTTGTTTAACTGAAGATACAGTTTGCGAGCGATCTCCATTACTTAACTACATATATGATGTCAGCTTCGTGCTTAGATTGTGACTTCAACATCAATTTGGGCTTCTTCTTCTTCTTCTTGAAGCCTTTGAGTCAAAGGCGGACAGGTCAAAGTTTGACCTGTTCGAGCCTTACGATTTGTCCGCCACGTTCGAACTCAACGCCGCGACTTGAACCCAGAGCAGACAGTGCTTGCCAACCGAAACGAGTCGCTACTGACGAAAGAAGGCGTTTGCAACTCCTGTAAGTGCAGTGTAACAGCATCGTAACGGGTAGAAGGACGGACAAGTTATACTTTGTGAATCGCGAATCGTATTGCGCCACGCAGCTCGACGGTCAGCGGAGATTCGCTCTGAGCTGCTGACAGAAGAAGTCGCACCAACGATGCGCTAGCTGATTCAGCTAAGCTGAAGCCAGTGAAACCGGGTGCCAAGAATCCTGCGCAAGGATCTCTCGCAAATGGGTTCACAGGCTTGTTTCTGCTGGGATATCAAACAATCCATAGATCTTATTCCGGGAAAGGCCGAGCACTGCTTCATAGAGTCGCAACAGCGAATACATCTTATCACTGCATCACTGAAAAGCAAAGTCATCATGATTTTATGTGAGCCACACAATTGGGTACTTTTGCGTCCGCCCATGAGTGGACCGTACTGTCCCTGTGACTCTGTGCAAACACGTGCGAATGCGTTTTCACAGGTCGGCATAGAGAGGGACTTGACGGCGCAAATAACTTGCGCTCACTATGTAACGACCTGGTAGGGGTTTCGTCCGGCTGGAATCGGGCCGAGTGCCAGTTGCGCTTCTTCACGAGAGACCAAAGCACATACACACAGGCGAAGTCACTCCTTCTCACTGCCTTGACTCTAAGCGAGGTGGATCGAGAGATCGAGAGGCTGCTGTGTAGTACTAATACGCGTGTCGACCATGTACGGCAACGACAAGCAGTCGCTTATGAAGCACGAAGACTACGAGCTGCACGGCACGCCAGCCACGGGAGCTAATGACGGCGGCGCCGGCTTCTACGCGCAGGAGGGTCGTCCGACCCCCCAGCAGGGTTATGTGGATCCGCGCGGTCCAGCACTACCTCCCATGAATGTCTCGGACGCCGTGGGTCTCGGCGGTCAGCGTGACAACATCATTTCGGTGCACGGCTACATGCACAAACAGGGTAAGCGCACGATCAAGGGACCGATCCACAAGAGTTGGAAACGCCGCTACTTTGCGCTAGAGAAGGCTAAGATCTACTACTTCTACTCGCACCTGGAGTGCCGCCAGTATTTCACCACGCGTAACGCCGATCTGGTTGTGGGCGCCATCGAGCTGAAAGACGCGCTGCAGCTGCGTCCGTGTGCGCGTCTCGATCTACCTCACAAGGGTTTCGAGGTGCACACTAAGCGTCGTGTGTGGGTGCTATGTCCTGAGACGGACGAGGAGTACCGCATGTGGTTCCAGGGCGTCGAACGCGCCATTGTGGCCAACGGTGCCGGCAACATTATCGAGCGCAAGCTGCCTAATGTCCGCAAGTACCTGATGAAGGGCAACCAGACATACCGGTTCTTCTACTTCCTGTTCCTGATCGCCGGCATTGTAGAGCTTCTTGCTATCGTGTTTTGGTTCGTGATCGGCTTGGAGCCTTGCGATGCCTCACGTCTGGAAGTTGACTGTGCCACAATTACAAGCACGTCATTGGAGACGCTCCGTTGCTCAAACGAGCCGTTTAGTGGCTGGTTCACCCCACCCGATTGGTATCTGGAGGTGGCTGACGTCGATAACGTGATCTGCTTCCGCGATCCGCCTATTCCTCAATGGGCCTCGTACTTCGCCATGCTGTTCGCTGAGGTGCTGACGTTCGCTCTGGGTGTTCTCTACTATCTTGGTATGTGGAAGCCCGTGCGTCGTGGCGCCCACTACTTCGACGAGTTCGAGCCGCCCGTCCCGGATGATCTGTGGCCCAAGGTCGATGTGCTGTTGTGTCACTACTCTGAGCCGGCTGAAGAGACGATCGACACGTTGATGGCCTGTATGAACCTGCAGTACCCTCCGCACCTGTTGCAGATCTGGGTCTGTGATGACGGTTACTGCAAGACCAAGTGGACCAAGGGCAACCCGGTCCCGACCGTGGAGCTGAACAAGGGCATCTTGGAAACTGCGGGTGACCTCCGTCAAGAAGTGGCTCAGTTCATGTACGACCGTGTGTGCGACCCCAACGAGGATATGGAGGTGTATGCGTGGCGTAAGCTGCACTCGTCCGCCAACCTGCCGTCTCCATCCCGTGTGAAGGTGGTTAACCGTGCTGATTGTGCCGTGGGCTCGTTCCGTGACGACTACCGCTACCCCGGTCTGCCACACGTGACCTTCATTGGTCGTGTGAAACCAGAAACGCATTACTCGAAGGCCGGTAACATCAACAACTGCCTGTACAATGAAGGAGCCAATGGCCGCTACCTTATCATCCTGGATACGGACATGCAGCCTCACCCGAAGTTCATTTTGGCTACGCTTCCTTTCTTCTTTGACGACGAGGATCGCCAGGATAAGGCTAAGTACATTTGCTGTGGTATCGGCTGCAACGCTGTCGCCAAGCTTTGCTGTGCCTCGTGCCAGATTGCCGGCGTGCCAGAGGAGCAGATCAGCTACTGCTCCAAGGACTGCTTCGAGAATGCCATGCACGTGCAGAGCGCCGTCCACCGTCGCCAGGTGAACGGCACTATGAGCGATACTCGCGCCAGCAAGATCGACATGCGTTGCATGAACTGTGATGCCAAACTGCCCAAGAACGGTGTGTGCCGCAAGTGTGGCAACCACGGGGCGGATGGGGAGGATGTTTCATCGCTCCACAACTACTCCGATGACGTGCGCGACAACGCGGTGGCCTTTGTTCAAACGCCTCAGTACTTCCGCGATTGCATTCAGCTGCAGATTGGAGACCCGATGGGTCACCGTAACGCCACGTTCTACGATGCTATTCAGACTGGTCAAGATGGCTACGACTGTGCGTCTTTTGCCGGCACGAACGCTATGTTCCGTCGTGAAGCTTTGGACTCGATTGGTGGAATCCAGTACGGTAGTCTGACGGAAGATTGCTACACTGGTCAGGTGCTGTGCTCCATGGGCTGGAAGGCTCAGTACTTCCGTAAGGATTTCGAGGGCGAGCCGTCAGAGCGTATCCGTCTGGCTGAAGGACTGATCCCTGACTCTGTGGCTGGCTCGTTGGCTCAACGTAAACGCTGGGCGAAGGGTAACTTCCAGATCGCATTGATGAACAAGAAGACTCAGTACTTTGACCCGGAGTGGAAGATGCCGGAGGCGCAAATCCCGTCGTACCACAAGTCGAACAAGTTCATGCGTCGCGTGTTCTACTTTAACTCGACGCTCTACCCGCTTGGCTCGATCACGGCTATCCTGTTCTACTACATCACGCTTTACTTCCTATTCTCGGGCTACGCTCCTATTTACATGGCTGGTGCGCGTCTTGTGTACGCATTGGTGCCAAAGCTGCTCATACAGGGCGTGTTGTCGGCGCTGAGCAACCGTACCGTGGACAACAGCGATGTCATTCGATCGCAGGAGGTGTGGTTCGCCTACGCGTTCACCAACTGCACGGCCGTGCTGGAGGCGTTCTGGTGGAAGATCACGGGCAAGGAGCCCAAGTGGTTCAACACGGGCGGTGCCAGCCGTGGCTCTACCGCAGAGCTACCGAACGTCATCATCTTCTTCGGAACCGTCGTGGGTGTACTGTGGTCGGTTGTGCGCTTCCTGGCTGGGTACAACAGCATCCAGACGTCGCACGGCGCGTCACTGCTCTTCGCAAGTCTCATGATGGGTCTATTCATCGCCGTAAAGCTTGCGCCGAGCGTGCGTATGAGCATCCAGGAATATTTTGGCTGGAGCTACGAGAGTCTGATGGACCAGGGTAACGTTGTGGGCTCGATCTCGATTGCCTTTGGACTCATCTTCATCACGCTGTGGGTCTGGATTGAGCAGCCGACGTCGAACCCCTTCTAAAAAGGGAGGAAGCAGCAGCGCATGGCCTTAGGCCATCCAGGACCTAGGATGTCGCATCGAAGGCAGTACTGTAGTCTACGCCGATATTCATGCTTACGTGCTTGATTTTCAATATATTTTTCGCTTCTAGCTTGGTTGCTGTGCTATGCTTTGCGCGTGCAAGATGCATCCGCAAGATCATCGTGCATGTCATGTACCTACACTCGAGTCGCACGGGTTAGCCCTAAAGCCTACAAAAGAGCAACCAATTGATCTACGTGTCTACGTGACAATTCCAAAACCAGGAAAACCCCCGCGTTATCTCTTCGTGAAGATCGAGGGGACAGCCCACCCATGAGCCGATGCGTTAAGCCTCGGTGGTTTCATTCGTAGCCAGCGTATTACGCTTTGGCCAGTACGCTGCGTACAGTTTGGCCAACCCGTCGCGGGTCTGTGAGCCAGTCACCAGCCTCGTCCTGATAGATTCCATGCTGTCGTTGCTGATGTGCACCCAGCGCCTCGAAGCTAGGCGCAAATAGTTACTTAACCAAGCATGGTGTATGAGGTGTGGCATATGAGGGCCTTGATTCCTGCCTGATATCGCACACGCTACCGGCCATAAGTGTGTAATAACATTTTAATTACATGCATCCTTTCTGAAAATTTCGGCATCATATCACATTAATCGAGATGTCGCACTTAAGCAGACAGGAGTGGACAGAGCGGACGAAATGGGTATTCCATCCTCTGAAAGGATGGCTTCTGAGACGAATCCATGATAGTGTGTACTTGTGAAAAACGCACAAGAATGTATTCAATCTGAGCTAGCGTTATTTATCAAAACATCGAGTTAAGGCATCAGTATGTCCGTGGACGCGACGAGCTGCTCGACCTCCACAAACGAGCCAGCGACACCGGTATTATGACATCACGCCCGACAGCTTCAGGCGAAGACATATATTGGCTTCCATCTCTCACAGAATCTAGCATCCTGTAGGCATGTAGCGATGGATCTCATTATAAATTACGAGCTGCAATAAACGCTTGACTGTGTGTATTCATTGGGATTGCCCTTGAAACGCAAGCAGCATTACTCTTTGTATGTGCATATACGCTATTTCGTTTCAAAGCTGACATGCACGGATTTTATAGATGATGATGGCATTCATACCTCGTACATGTAATAGCGAGTTTATTTGCCTGACGAAAAAAGTCATGGCTAAAACTTTGTTGTTGAAAAACAAAAGCGCTTGTGTAAGCTGTAAGCTCGAATCAAGCTCGTCCGTCTTTACTTAAAACATTGAGAGCTTGATTTCTTGCAAACAAAACTGAGATACCGGTGAGCTAAGGTCCAGATGGAGGTTGCTATTATAATAAGCCAGTAGTGTTAATGCAACAGTACAAAAGATTCATGCTGTTTGCGTTTTCGAGTTGTTTCAGTGAATAAAATGAATGGGTAACGGACCCAAATATCCTCTTCCGTCCGCCCCCCGTCCGCTTGCCCTACCCGCTTTGGCAAGACGCAGGCTTCACGTTTCCTCTTATGTCCGATTTCCGTTTCCGGACCGCACTGGCTGCTTTTGCGATAGAGATTACACTCGGAGTTTCGAGAGAGAAGTAACGAACGCGGACTCTTGCGAGGCACACGGCCATTCGAGAGAAACACGAGTGAGCGAGAAACGGAGCGGGTGATCGATAGGATACTCGACTGCCTCGGTCTGTTCTGAGCGGTACGTCCGCGTTCGCCGGTCTTCTCCCTCGCCTGGACGAAATAAGCTAATTTCTCTCTTTTTGCTCCAGCCTCATTCGTACCTGACAGTTCCAAAGCGAACATGTTCAACAAGGACCAGACGGCTACGGCCGTCCCGCCAACGGACGACTACGAGATGTACGCGACGCCCTCGGCTATGGACGTGCACGAGCCCGGCGAGGCCGAGATCGTGCGACGCGGGTCCCCGGATCCTCCCGTCCGACCACCTGTTAGCTCGGACGAAGGCGGGAGCTTCCAGGACAACGTCATCACGGTGCACGGCTACATGCACAAACAGGGCAAGCGAATGATGAAGGGACCCATGCACAAGAGCTGGAAGCGACGCTACTTTGCGCTTGAAAAAGCCAAGATCTACTACTTCCACTCGCATCTGGAGTGCCGTCAGTACTTCACTACACGTAACACGGACCTAGTGGTAGGTGCCATCGAGCTGAAGGATGCGCTGCAGCTGCGTCCGTGTGCACGTCTGGACTTGCCTCACCGAGGTTTTGAGATCATGACCAAGCGCCGTGTGTGGGTGTTGTGCCCCGAGACGGACGAGGAGTACCGACTCTGGTTCGAAGGCGTGGAGGAAGCCATCGTGGCTTGTGGTTCGGGTAACATCATCGAGCGAAAACTGCCCAACGTCCGCAAGTACTACATGAAGGGCATCACCACGTACCGCACGCTGTACTTCCTCTTCCTGATCCTCAGCATCGTCGAGATCTTTGGCTTCGTCTTCTGGTTCGTCGTGGGTGTTCAACCCTGTGACTCCGGCAACCGGACATTGGCCTGTGAAGACGTGTACGACAACACTCCCGACGATCTCAACTGTCGCGCCGACCCCATGAGCGGCTGGTTCACGCCACCCGACTGGTATCTGACACTGGCCGGCGTCGACGACGTGGTCTGTTTCCACGACCCGCCCATTGCTCAGTGGGTGGCGTTCTTCGCTCTCATTGCCGCAGAATTGGTGTCTATTGTGCTCGGTGCACTGTACTACCTCGGCATGTGGAAGCCTGTGCGTCGTGGCGCCCACTACTTCGATGAGTTCGACCCCAAGGTGCCCGATGACTTGTGGCCAAAGATTGACGTTCTTCTGTGCCACTACTCGGAGCCGGCTGAGGAGACAATTGACACGTTGATGGCTTGTATGAACCTTCAGTACCCGCCTCACCTCGTGCAAATTTACGTGCTGGACGACGGCTACTGCGGCTCTAAGTGGACCAAGGGTAACCCTGTCCCTGCAATTGAACTCAACAAGGTGGTGCTCGAAAAGTCTGGTGATCTACGGCAAGAAGTGGCGCAGTTCATGTACGACCGTGTGTGTGACCCCAACGAGGACATGGAGGTGTACGCGTGGCGTAAACTACACTCGTCTGCCAATCTGCCGTCTCCATCCCGCCCGAAGGTTGTGAACCGCGCAGATTGTGCCGTGGGATCGTTCCGTGACGACTACCGCTACCCCGGTCTGCCGCACGTGACATATGTTGGCCGTGTGAAGCCCGAGACGCACTACTCAAAGGCTGGTAACATCAACAACTGCCTGTATAATGAAGGAGCCAATGGACGTTACATGCTCCTACTGGACTCGGACATGCAGCCGCACCCGAAGTTCGTTCTCGCTACGCTCCCGTTCTTTTTCGACGATGAAGATCGTCAGTATAAGAACAAGTACTCGTGCTCGTGCATGGGTTGCCAGAACGTGGCCAAGATGTGCTGTGCCTCGTGTAAGATTGCAGGTGTACCGGAGGAACGTATCAGCTACTGCTCGAAGGAGTGCTTTGAGAACGCCATGCACGTGCAGAGCGACTTGCACCGTCGCCAGGTTAATGGAACCTTGAGCGACGTGCGTGCCACAAAGAAGGAGCTTCGGTGCATGAACTGCGACTCCAAACTTGGTAAGAGTGGAGTGTGTCGCAAGTGCAACACGAACAACAACAACGGAGATGCAGACATGTCGATCCTGCACACGTACTCGGACGACGTACGTGACAACGCGGTCGGCTTTGTGCAGACACCACAGTACTTCCGTGACTGCGTGCAGCTGCAGATTGGTGACCCACTTGGTCACCGTAACTCCACGTTCTACGATGCGATTCAGACTGGCCAGGATGGCTACGACTGCGCCTCGTTTGCGGGTACCAACGCTTTGATTCGTCGTGAGGCTCTGGACTCGATTGGTGGCATTCAGTACGGTACTTTGACCGAGGACTGCTACACTGGCGAACGTCTTGTGTCGATGGGCTGGAAGGCACTGTACTTCCGTAAGGATTTTGAAGGTGAGGCTGAGGAGCGTATCCGTCTGGCTGAAGGACTGATCCCCGACTCGGTGGCTGGAGCCATGGCACAGCGAAAACGTTGGGCCAAGGGTAACTTCCAGACGGCATTGATGAAGAAGAACAAGAACGTGGCTGACCCGGAATGGAAGCGTCCTCACGTAGATATTCCAAAGTACCGCAAGCCCAACAACTTCATGCGTCGTGTGTTCTACCTCAACTCGACTCTGTACCCGATCGATTCCATCCCTGTGATCCTTCTGTACTACATCACGCTGTACTTCCTGTACACTGGCTACGCTCCGATCTTCGTCAACGGCCTCCGCGTACTTGTTGCACTCGTGCCGAAGCTTATCGTGCAGGGTCTGTTGTCGGCTATGAGCACTCGTGGTGTGGAGAACAGCGATGTGGTGCGCTCACAGGAGACGAGATTCGTGTACGCCTTTACCAACTTTACGGCCATGCTCGGCGCTATCGTGTGGAAGTTCACTGGCCGTAAGTCTAGGTGGCTCAACAAGCGCGATGCCACGCGTGGATCGCTAGCGGAGCTGCCGAATGTGCTGGTGTTCTCTGGCGCTGTGTTCGGTATCATCTGGGCTATGGTGCGCTACATTGTGGCGTACTACAACCGCGTGTTCTCGCACGGTGACTCCATGCTGTTAGCCGCCATGCTCATGGGTTTTTACATCGCCTACAACCTGGGACCGAGCGTGCGTATGAGCATTCAGGAGTATTTCGGCTGGAGCTACCAGAGTTTGATGGACCAGGGTAACTTTATGGGCTCTATCTCCATTGCTGTGGGTCTCATGTTCATTGCGCTCTGGGTGCACGTCGAGGAGCCCGCGTCCGGCTAGAGGAGGTGTATCTAGGTTGAGCCAGCTGTATAGTAGCGCCGATGACACTTGGCGTCACTGCTTTTTCATCTTCCATTAGTTTGCTTTTTATGCCATATCTCGGCTAATGAAATATGGGTATATGGAAACTCTTCTGCCATTTTAGAGAAGAATTTTGGGAACTACTGGAGCGCAGAGCATGGGCTGCGAGAACTCTCTATTCGACCAGTTCTCCTCGCTCATCGGGCAACCCGTGCGCGTGCATTTGCAAGATGGCACGCACACTAACGGTGTGTTGTACTGCATCGACCCTGAAACGGATCACGTAGCGCTGTTGTGTCCTGGAGGCTCAGGCTACAACGTGAAGATCGTACTTGCGCATCATGTTCGAGACATCGCAATGGGGCTGCAAGAGAGCACAGATATACCCACATTAATTCTTTTACAGCAGGAGCTGGAAAAAGATAGACACTACAAACAGATAGACACGGCGAGTATCCAACGCCGACGAGAGCAGCTTGGTAAAATCTTGACGAAGGTAGGCGATGGTTTTGCTGCATGGGAATGGAGCGTTATTAACACACAGTTTACTGAATATTGGCAGAACTTTGTTTCGTTTGAAGAGGCAGCAGATGGCAGTGTCCGCGTTTTCGGAGGCGCCGCGACGGTGCGTGCGCCATTTCGCACAGTGGAGTGCGCCAACGAGCTGCTTTTGCGACGAATGCAGCAACTCCTGGAGCAATTAGCATAACAGCAGTAACGTTGTAGTACATAATACACGGACTCACAACGCTGGTCTGCAGCAAGTCTCCAGCATCTTCGTGCACTGCTATTGGCAGCAAAATTTGCTGGCCGTCTTCTATTGAGTCACATCTCCCTGTTACATTGTCCATCGAGGCTTCTTTAGCCTGTATGGAAGGTCTCAACAAGCAGGAATACTGTCCAGCATGAAGGCCGGAGGAGGTCGCTGCGTTGATGAGTACTCGTGCGGAGTGGTACTGTAGCTCTGGTATGTAAAAATGCCAGGTTAAATGGCGGAACGGCGATATGTAAGCCAAAGAACTCCGTTTGAAATGCCTCCTTTAAGGAGGCATTTCCCAGAGCGTACGATACACCGACAGCACTGCATTCATGAGCTTATCGCACCCAGCAGGGCTACTACCAAAGCTTTGTGTGGATTATTGTGCCGGACTAAAGTTTAGTCCGGGCAAGGCTTTGTACATGTACAGACAGGAAGCTTTTCACATTGTTACAATGCACGAGCTCGCGTGCCTCCTGCGTGACTGCTCCGTCGAGTCGCCAGCGCCATCCGAACGCAAAGCGGCGATCGAGCCGTTTGAAGCACCCGGGAGCTTCTGGTCTACTGAGCTTCGACTGTCCGTGTCGTATTGTACGCTGTGCGGCAACTTCAGCGGTTAATAATCCCGCCTTGCATGGATTGTAATGGCGCATGTCGAACCCAATCAACGCAAAAATTGCCTCGTAGTCATTGATACTTTGGCACTTCAACTTTAACTCTTTTTTAAAAAAAAAGGAAGTGTTGTCGATGCATGCGACGTGTGAGAGACCCCCGTCTACTGTTCATTCTGATCGTCGACCAGCATCGCCCACACTGTGAATGAAGTCCAGGACCACCATTGACAAGCCGTTTCCTCATGTGGGACCACGTAATACAAACTTGTTCCTGACAGAAGGCGTTTCGCGCTCTGCAAGTCTTGCGTGGTGGCGCTGCTGGCTGAAAGTCATGCAAAAAGGAGAATCCATCGCATAATACCGTTACAAACAACACCTCACCCACTGGTTCATGTTATTTATTTCGTACTTAGAAAAGCGAAAAGCTTTTCACGCTGACTGGAAAAATTTCAAGATGAGGCTTAATCCAATGCTTTCAGTACTCTGTCGACCGACAACCGCCGCAAGCTCCGCATCTCTCAGTCTCCATCTTGCTGAGCCTGGGCTTACTTCGATGCGTATGCTGCGCGCCGTGATGGAGCTGCTACGCAGCCGCCGTCATGAGGGCAGCGATCGCGACTCGCGAGTGCCACGCTCATCAACTACAGAACACAAGACAAATCCAAACATTCGCGCCGCGAGATCCACCTTTATGACTTCTGTCGGACCGGACGAGACTGTACGCAATGCAGTAGCGTTTCTGGCGCAGGAAGACGGCGAGAGCGCGCTCATCTACGCGCTCGTCCACGACCCAGAGTTCCGCTTGGCTTCAGCGCTGGCGACGGTAAGATAGCGACAACTACAGTAGCTCAGATAATGAAATTATAACTGACTGACCATCATTCTCGTTCTACCAGACTCCGTCAGGTGCCGACGTGAACGTGATCCGCGCGCTGTTGTTTGTATTTGAAAACCACGAGGACCAGCTGCGTAAACTGCTGGGGCTGCTCATGTTCCGCGAGATGGTGCACACACAGAACTGGAACGAGCTCTTCCGAGCCAACTCGGCCACGACAGCTGTACGTCTTCAACTGCATGGAGTCATTGACGTGGCAACACAGAGAATTGACATCTTTTTCCTTTCTTAATACAGCTGCTGCGCGAATACACATGCGAACTGGGTGGCGACTTCCTGAGCCACGCGCTAGCAGACGTCGTCAACGAGCTCTGGGTCAGTTCGGACGGCCACGAGGTGAACCCACGCTATCTACAGCCACACGACGATCTCCATGCCAATCAACGACGACTAGAGGCGCTGGCTGAGCGCACACTCGACCGGATCTTCAGTGCAGCGTCGCTGTTTCCCTACCAAGTTGCCAAAATCTATCGCGTGTTGGAGCTGGAGATGATGCGACTTGTTGAACGAGATCGACGCAGCAACGTGTCACTACCCAGACTCAGCGCCATGGGAGGCAGCAGCAACAGTCTCATCTTCTCGGACGCAGGCAACAACAACAACAACAGCTTCATGGAGCGTACCTCCTTTGAAAGCGTAGGACTGGGAGCACTGCCTCGACTCAGCTCTGTTGAAGAGAGTCTTCTTGACGAAGTCCTGGCACAGTCAAACAGCTCAAATGGCACGTCTTCCACCGTCTCTGCAGCGAAGGAGGAGTTCTACATGCATCTGGGAGGTCTGGTCTTCCTGCGGTTCCTGTGTCCGGCGCTAGTGGTCCCCCACAAGATGAATTTGACGCCAGGGAGTGCTGCACCCAACAAGCAGATGCAGCGTACACTTGTGCTACTGGCAAAGCTGATGCAGTCTCTGGCCAACAACGTCGAGTACTCTGCGTCGACTGAATCGTTCATGGTGCCGTTCAACGCGTTCCTTGTTCGAAATCGACCCAAGCTCACGCGATTTTACGACCAACTGTGTCAACAAGCCCAGAATGACTCGCGTCGAGAGAGTTTGGTGGCACGTAGCAATACAGTCCCGCGGATATCGCAGCTTTGGGCAAGTCGGAGTAGCAGTAGTCTGGGGATAGATCCGGCGATTGTGAACCTCACGGGAGCGCGCTTTATGGAATCGCCGGAGGCTTCGTGCGCTGTCTTACGCAACTGGATGAGCTCGAATCTTGACTACTTGGCGATGGAGGTCGCAGATAACAACAAGTTCCGTCGCCAACAAAATATTGTCGTCAGTAACGGATGCAGTAGTAGCGGGAGCTCCACGCCGCCTACATCGGCCACGTCAGCGCTGTCAAACTCACCGCTGAAGGCTCGACCAAAGAGGAAGCTGAAGACGTCCAAGAGCTCGACATATCCGGTAGAAATCCAGGAAGAAGATGAAGAAGAGAAGACGAATGATACCTCATCTAAGTCGTCACAACGACATGATGTCGCGATGCCTGTTTCACTGGATGAACTGGACAAGATCATGGGCCACACAAGTCACCGTGACAGCCAGTTGATGAAGGTGTACTACGCGAAGCTCTCGCAGAATGGTCTGCAGCGGCTACTGCACGTGAACGACGTTGATGGAGCAGAGTGGACTGTCTATAAGAGTAGAGGAGATGTTGAGGTGCTCCGCAAAACGCCAGGACATTTTGTGTGTCCGTCAGGGGGCTTTGCCTCGGAGAAAGACCGACTGGTGGAGATGAAGGGATATGTCACCATCCAGTCAACACCCCAGCGCGTATTTGAATATCTGCGATCACTTGTGAATGAACGCAGTGCAGCTTTAGGAAGCAGCACCGACGACGACAAGATGACGATCAGGAGAGTGGAGCCACTGGATGACTCGAAGGCAGTGCTATACCGTGAGCATTCTAGACTGTCACTGTGGCCTGCGTGGCTGGTAAAGCCTCGTGATTCCTGCGATCTCCACAGCTTCGTTGAGAAGACAGGGCGACCGGATACGTATGCGGTGCTGCAGGAGTCGATTCCACGTCCCGATGTACCTGAGCGCAAGGGTATTGTGCGGATGGCTTATGCTACTGGCGGCTTTCTGATTGAGCCATTTGTAGGAGACGAGGAAGGTCCAAATCCGGGTACGAGACTTACTTGCATCGTAAGAGCAGATTTCAAGGGACTTATGCCACGATATCTTGCCGAGAGTATCGTCTATCGGCAAGTGCTGGAGGTTGAGACCATTCGTTCGCGTGTGATATCGATGCGACGCCAAACGAGCTCTGAGTGGGTCTAGAGCGCGGTAGCAGCCACGACGATATCTATCAACCATCCAGTGGAAAGATGGACCGCAAGCTACCGGTAGTGTAAATTTTGTTCCTTCATCGAAGGCAACGTAAGCTATGCAATATCACTTTGAATAAATACTAACAACACTACACATGCACATTGTTTGCATCAAGTCCACCGACATGAAGGTATCACTTGGAGCACGAAGTCTGTCCCCCAACACATGCGCGTCCGTAATGAGGGAAGCGCACAAATGGGTAGGTACATGAAGGCAATAATCCCCAAGACGTGACCCCCGCACGAGCTACCAGCATTCTTTAACTGCATTTGAACCATCTGAAGCCGTCATGAGGGCAACATAGGAGCAAAGGGGCAGTCAGCAAGGATGTCGGTATTTGGCGCCTTCCGTAATGAGGGAAAGCACCACAAGCTCGAATCTTAAGGTTCGTTGTTGGTTTAAGCGTTGGTTGGGTCACACAGTCGAGGCACTTCATCGTACAACGTGACGAATGACTTGACTGCCTTATCTTCATCTCCATTCCAGACTCGCAAACACTCACAAGCAGCGGGGATCATGTCGGCGCGGTAGCCGATAGCTTCGTTGTAGGTCGAGAAAGCCTGTAAAAGACGTGTGATACTTTGAGTTTGTAGTCGTGATGTTTTTGCTGCCGCTGCGACATCATCCGCGATCTCCTTGTACTGTGGACACTCACCGCACTTGCAAAGATAATCTTCGAGATAGATTGGACTGAAGTCGTTGTTGTCTTGACACACGATAGCAGATAAATGCAATAGCTGCTCAGCCTGGGTCTCGCAGTCGCAATCAGCACAGTTCTCGCACGCATCACAGATAGCGTGAAGCATGTCTTCACTTGCGGAGTCCTCGTTTTCCCATTCAGAGTCACTAAAATTCAGTTCGTCTTCCTCATTCTCCGCATCGGTGAACAGCTCAGTCTCCTCTGAAGTGCAGGAGTGGGTATCGTCGTCATTGACCTCCTTGCAGTCAACATGACAGGGCATCCAATCACGGTTGACAATTAACTCTGCGAAGAAGTATTCATCTTCCGTCTGGCACGCGGTGTCGACGAGGATCGAAGCTCTCTTCGGCTTAGAAAAACTACCCGTGAGCAGAGCCACCATCGTCGATAGCACAAGTGCGAAATAGGTTGTGATGGCCTCGATCCAAGTGGGTGCTGCGACAACGTAGCTCTGCTTCTCCATCTGATCGAGTAGCATGTCGGAGGCGGTGAAATCCCAGTGAGAGCTCTCTGAACGCGTGATCGATGTGGTGTTGCCCATGACTGAGGACGTGTCGGAGCTATTAAAGGTATGAGCTGAAGCTTGCAATTTGGAATATGGTACGTTGTGTAGCTCTTCGACTAACTGCTCGACGTGTAGTCCGCGGGTGTCCCTTTTTCCTCATTGTAGAACTTGTTGCTTTTCGGTGATCGACGTGAACGTTCTAAATACGATTTGCTGATTGGTTGCTGACTTCAACTTAACGTACCACATAGTCGGTACAAAGCAAAGCGACGCATGTAGCCATTTTGTCCCCATCCAAGTCTTCGTTATGCCATTGCCACCGGCGGAATTTAGCCCCAAAGCTGCTGACCAGCAAGCAGAGAGGGTCCGTGAGGTATTGCAAGCTCTCTCTGAAGTCGTGTTAGAAGCGAAAAAGCGAGGTCTTCCTCTCTCAGAAGCCTACGCGCACTTTGACCAGCGAGATGAAGGGGTCGTGAGTGTGGACGACTTGATACAAGCTGTTGTAGAGCTGCGTCTGTACCCAAGCTATGATCTATGGAGTGAGCAAGACGCTGAAGAGTGCGTGGCTGTGATCTCACGCGGCAAATCGAGAGTCTATTTCACGAAGGAAGATTTTGTGCGCTACTTTGCACGAGACGACTCTCAAGACAAAGAAATATACGGTCACAAACGCCGCGTACGCTTCCATAAGACATCTCCAACGAAGCCTGACCACCTTCAACACTGTCAAGAACACGCCACTGCTGCTTCGCATACCTTGGCCAGCTTTCCTAAACAGAAGAAACAGGTGCGTGTGACGCTACCGGAGTGGGCTCATGCTCGGAGCAAACGTGCACTAAAGGGGCTGGAAGCAAGACGTCGGTCCAAGTCGAAACCTCAGCCACCATTAACTTTGAGCTCCACACCGAACTTCAACTCGGACAGCTCGTTGTCCGAACCAACCCCAGACAGCTTCATCCAATACAGCGACGTGTTTAACGATGACGAGAATAACGAGTCTGATGTACAAGCCCCAGCTACTCTTCCACAGCTTGATTTAAAGAATAAACCTCACTCAGCAAAGACAGGAGAAAGCCCTGACGATGTACTCGTATTCCCGCTATCGGATAGATGGAAGACATTCCAGGTAGACGCAGATACTACGATCTCTTACGGCATCCTCTCACATGACACTATGGAATCATCATCTGATGCGGATAGTAATCCAGCAGCTTGGCCCCCACGATCGCGTCTATCGGCCGAAAGTTCAGCTGAAGAGGAAGCGTCAGGACTTCCGAACACGACCGCATTTCGACTAACTGTCTTCCTCGACGCTTTCCAGCGGTTAGAGACACTGGAAGCTTTCTTCCATCCACTGCTCGTTCACTTTCCAAGAGGAAAAATACTACTTTGTGGCTTCCCGACGCGCTCAAAACGCATCACTACTTGGCACAACGCTCGTTTCGCGAGTGTCTACTCTAGATTACTCGAGTACGTCATGACTCGGTCTCGCGAGTGGCTTGTGCAGCCGAAACTGGGTATTGGGGCTGTTCCACAGTATCTCGTTGGTTTTGGTACTGGTGGCAGCACAGCTCTACAACTGCTAGGAATGGAGTTGCCTATGCGGCAGAGTAAAGGCGACGGCGGTGGAGCTCTTGGACTGTTTGCTCGGTCTTTACGTGGCCTTGTGCTGGTTAATGCAGCTGCAAGCGTCACTGATGTTGAAAGGAGAACACTACGTTCACTACAGAAATTATTGGACAAAAGAGCCACAAACACGGGAGATGCTGTGGAGCTACACGAGGCGCTCGCATCTGCGCTATTTAGTGATCACTATCTCTCGCAAGTTGTGCAAAGTCGATCAACAGCTCTTGAAAACTTCTTCCGAACTCGACGTGGCTTTCTCCAAACGACCGAGAGGACGGCAGCGAATAGTTGTGGAGTTGACGATAAAGCCAAAGCTGGTCATCTGCTTAGGGTTTTACTGCGTGGTGCTGCCAAGAACCGAGACGGCACTGCGGCTATCACTAATCTGGCAGCTGTCGTCCCTGCGCCATTCGCACTGATCGTTGTTCATGGGTCCCAAAACGCACTTTTCACACCTCATCAAGTTGAATTGATGACAGGAAACAACGTGACATCGTCGGTTGGGTTCTCACAAGTGAACAACGTGTCCGAAGCGTTAGCTCTCGATAACGACGCAGAAGACACATCTAACAATGATACTCGACACTTACATGTGGCATGGCTAAAAGGTGGTCACGAACTGCTGCAAGAACGAAGCTCCTTCTTTTACGAGTTGTTCCGTCAGCTTGCCACCGCAGAAACGTCACCCCAGCAGCCAGATATCACAACCGACCAACGCAAATTACCCACTAGTGAAGGCCGTCGTAGTACCAGTCAACGTCGTAAAAGTAGCGTCATCTCACACCAACCATCGCGTTGCCAAGACAACATTTCGATTCAAGACGAGACTCTGCCAACTGATCAAGCTGATGCCAGCACACCTCTATCCTCGACGCAGAGTTCAGAACCGCCATCAATACTCCGTCAGCGAGTCTGTGAGGAGCTATCTACGCGAGGCCTTGCGTGGATTCAGCAAGAGCTGTACGACCGAGGGATTGAAGGCGCTGGTCCGACTGAAATCATCCTCGAGCGCTACGAGCGTGTACTTAGTCAAGAAGAAGAACGCGCTCGTCAACAGGAACGCGATAAGCAGTATATGCACGCAAAGCATGACGAGATCGAAGCTCAACGTCGCGCAAAGCAAGAAGAAGCGAACGAGCGTGAACAGCGAGCTCTTGACGCCCGACGAGCAATCCAGAGACGTGAACGAGAGTCCCAGCAAGCGTTTTTTAAGCAAATGGAAGCCAAGAAACTCGAGAACGCGAGGAGATTACAGGAAAACGAGAACACGACGCTAGAAGACGCTCGGTCGCGGAAAGTAGAGCAACTAATCGCTAGTGATCTCGAACGTAGTGATCGGAATCGCGCTGTGGTTATTCAAATGGGTGAGCTAGAAGCTGAGCGTCAAGAACACGTCCGTCGCGAGGCGCAAGTGGAGCTCCAAGCACGTCGACTTGAGGAGCAGAAAGCGCATCGAGAAGCGCTCAAAACCATCCAACGCGAGTTCGAGCAGAATCAGCTCGTGTCCAGTCCTGTGGAGGCTTATTGGCTGGACGCTCCAGCGGTCTACGAGCGCTTTGACGACATCTCCAGTGGCGCACGTGTGCTGGCTACAGACTTAGTGCACTTTAACGAGATCAAAGCGCTTCAAATGCGCGAGTCAGCCGACAAACGCCTCGAGTTGGAGACACTGCAACGCGGTCCTCTGGCTGCGAAGGAACTGGAGGTCCGGAACTTGGAGCGTGTTCAAGCCAAAGCACAAAGCACTGGGACGATCGCCAAAGCAGGTATGGGCACTGTTCGCATTGTGCCTATCACTCCAGTGGAGATACAGACACTTGGACGAGATCTTGACGTTGCGCGCGATGAGCTGGAGCGATTACAGAGCGATGCAGCTCTGCGTCGTAAGGATCTGGCATGGAAAGACCAGCTTCTCCAGCGGGTGAGCGTTATTATCCAGCGCAATGAACGTTTCCGAGAAGAAGTGCTAGCGAAGCTCTCGCTTTGCGCTGATATGGGCAACGAGAGAGTGCTATCGCTTCGAGAGGATAACGATGCGCTGGAATGCAAGTGTGACGCACTCATTGAACTGCGTGATAAGCTGAAGCTGCGGCAAGATGCCGTGCGAGGTGAATGCGAGCGTGCGCGAGCTGCGACGACGGCCTTTTTTGATACCAAGTTGAGAGTCGTAGGCGCTCTCCAACGCGTACAGCGGACAGTTGTTATCAAAGAGCTTGAGGTGGAGAATGACGCTTTGTCTGAGCGAATAAAAGCGCTCGACCAGCAGGACGAAGCAGCACATATCGCGTTGGAAAAGGGTAGAGCCACGCTAGAAGAAGTAGCCACCTGCACCTTCATGTTGGAAGAAAGTCAACGGACATTGACAGCCACGACTGAAGCCAAAGACCTCGGGACAGACCAACAAGGAGCTTCACTGGCTGGCAAGACGAAGGCATCCGGCGGGACTAAGCCACAGGAGGGTGTCGCTGAGAGTGTGCGACTGAAGAAGCATGTCGATCGATCGCCCGAGGAGAAAATGTGGGTGGCGCTGGACTTCTTGCTCAACTTCGCGTACTACTACAAGCACGTGACAGCAGAAGAGGTTGAGATCATCCAAAAGAGCGCGGAGTATCAGCAACAGAGCAAAGCTAAGCTGACTGTGGATCAACTCCAGCGTTTGATGCAACTTCCAGCACGCAATTGCCTCGCCTTGGCGTTCTTCAAGTCGCAGGAGGAAATGGAAGCTCACTATCTGCTGCGCAAGTACACGGTTGGCGATGGCGAAGAGTACTTCGCTCAACTAGATCACGACTTCGAAGCGCCTAGGGGTGTAGCAGCTGCACGCGCGAGTCTCACGTCTAGTCTTGCTGAAATGCTATCTGCTCTTCAGACGATCGCAGACGCTTCGTCTCAGCGTGCCTATCGGTGTCCAAGAGCTCGAGCTGCGTTGTTAGATGACAAGATGCCGCTTCTTACGCTTCTCCACGTGCCCCAAAGCCAAATTTTCCCGCATAAAAGCACCACACACAGCTTCCAACTGCCCAAGGACGGCGAGGGTGTGGCTGTGTTATCACTCAGTGTCTCCATCGTCTTCCAGGGACATTTCAAGTCGGTCGGCTATCAAAATGGACGTCTAGCTGCCATGATGTACATGTTGCCACCAGTGACCGACCCGGATTCATTGCAGCGAACGTTCCAAGCCCCAATTCCCATTGGCAAATGCTTCTACGTCGAGGATCTTGCACTGTGTTTCCCGCATAGCATGGGTAGACTTGTTCTCCGACACGAGCCTCAAGTCATCCCGCTTAGTGCTGCAGCCACGTATCAAGTTGTAGTGGGAGCACCAGTCTTCACAGCGTACTCTCTGCAAGTACACGCACGCACGGCCTTGTTCGCTGATGAAGTGTTACGAAGGAAACGTGTCGATGCCCTAAAGAAGCAAGACTTGTTGCCTCGCAAGCAAGACGAACTGCAGAATGTCTTCTTAACTATCCAGCTGAGCGAACGTAAGAAGCGATTAGCACGTCGACTTGCCACCGAAGCCAAAGACCAAGCGCGTGCTGCAGAACTGGAGCTGTTGGGGAATAATCTGAAGCTGGAACGCGACAACGCAGAGCCTCTACTGAGCCACGAAGGGCGTCGAGATCTCCACAACGCGATACGAAGAGCCAACGAGATGTTCACGAACTGCTGCTTCTTGTTCTCTAAGCGTGAGGAAGAAGTACGCGACATCGAACAGAGTCTGCGAGAACTCAGCAGGATCCACGTAGATGTACTCGAAGACTGTGAGAAGATGGAGCAGGTGCTGGCTGAGTACCGCACTTATCTGCCTCCGATCGCAGCTCTACTACATGTAGTAGGAGACCGAGATGTCGACAGTGGAGACGCCGTAGCAGCCAAACTCGCTAGAGAACTCAACGTCGAGTACGTTAATAAGAGCGGTACAAAGTCGTCCAAAGTGCGCTGGGCGGAGCTGTCTGCCATGAAAGCCAAGCTTCCCTCCATGATGACTCCAGCTGAGCGACTGCGACGAAAATACAAGAGAGGGCGAGACACGCTAGACAAGAAAGAGCGCGAGTGGGTGATCCTGGATCGTATCCTTTATCCGAGAATGTATCGATGGGAGCAAGACAAACACGGAGGTGCAGCAGACGGAGGATACACGAAAGCCCCCGGCGTGAACCTTCGGCTACACGGAGCATACCCGAAGCTGTCGAAAGACGAGGAACAGCTCGCAGCTTTCTCTCAACTGGAAGTTGAGCGTATCCTAAAAGCTCCGTGGAATCTGCTAGAGCGGAAAGAGATCTTGATTCGTAAGATACTCACGCGATTCCGAGACGATCATGGGAGCAACGCCAAGCATAGAACTGCTCCCAATCATTCGACGATGGTGACGCTGTTACGAGCCCAGAAACCCACAGAATTGACTCGAGAGGAGCGTGAGTGGCGCTTGTACGACCAACTTCTGAACCCCATGTACTTTCCTGTCAACTTCAAACGAATGGCGAAGGAACTCGCAGAAGCTACTGCTACACCAGGTGGTCTAGAGGAGGTGACGATCTCGACCAAGATAACGAGACAAGATCTCCTCACCGCTATCAACACGCGAGAGGAAGAGCTGTATAAACTGCCTAGTGACTTGCTGCGAGGACGTACGTTGCTGCTCAAGTACGATCCTCAACTCAGCGTGAACCTCATCACTGCTGCGCGGACCCAGCAGCAGAGTCAGGACTCTCAAACGAGGACGGATGGCGTCAACCTTGACGTGGATGCACGGTGTCGTCTTGTGTTTCAGGAACTTCAGCGTGCAATCGCTAACACGAGGAACGAGTTCATGGACTCGAATGTACTGCACTCCACACTACAGCGATTCCCCACAAAAGTGCTGCGACTTGAGCTAGAGAAAGACTTGGACCGCCTGTTGATCTCGCAGATTAAGGAAAAAGAAGACTTCGAGCTCGCCAACTTCCTCTCCAAGAAAGAAACTACTGCCACCAACGGAGATGCCGTGTCTGACTCTGACAGTGACGAGGAAGCCGTGATTGCTCGCGAAATGGAAGCCAGACGCAAGGCCACGGAAGACGCCAAACAAGGACCGAAAGTTCGAGGTAAAGCACTCAAGCACAAGTCTCTACAGAGGCAACGTCGGGAGATCAAGAACGCACTTCAAGGACGCAGTCTCGAGGAGCAGCGTATGGTCCTTCGCGAGCAAGAACTTGGTCCTGGCGGATGTACCGCTTGCTGGACGAATCCTTGTCAGTGGAAACCTTTCCTAGAGGAGTCGTACGTGACAATCCAGGAGCGTATTGACGTCATCCACGAGGAGTTGGAGCGTGTAAAACACTGTCCTGATCTCACGATCACATCGAACGTCTGTCTGACTGCAGTTAAGTCCGGGAACCGAGCCATTACGTTGCGTAAGAGCGACTTGTTTGACGAGCTGACGTCGGAGGTGAAGATCTGGGAGAAGAACTTGCGCTTGAAAGCTGTCGACGAGGAATTCCACGAGACTTTCCGCTCCAAAAACGACTTCTTCGAGACGCAAGCACTGCACGGCTTTCGACAGATCCAGCACAAGAACAAAGTGCAGATAGCTCTTCAACGCGAGCACAATGTGTTGGTTGCGCATCTTACAGCGTACGAAGTGGTCGAAGACGTGCTTGAATCCTTGCTAGAAGGATGGATCCTCGGCGAGCGCGAGTCCGAGCGACAAGTACTTGGCTACGTCCCCAGTTTGAAGCGCGAAGGACCGTTAACGATGCAGGATCTTCGACGCTTTGAACAAGATCGTCGCATCCTTCAAGTTCGTCAGGATATTCGTGACGAACAGCTACAGAATGCTCAGGGAGTACCCTCCGATAAGTGGAGACCCATTGAGGTGGAAGCTTTCCAAGTCAATCTTACCAAGAAGGCAGTGCAGAAGGGCTCGGAACTGGATAAATCACTCACCGAGACGGAGAACGCGTTAGAGTTCGGACTCTTCTGCATGACACTTATGTACTTCCGAGGCTTGTCGTTGCTCAAAAAGCAGAAGACTGTCTGGTCCGTCTCGACTGCAAAGCGTAGTGCTGAACACACGAAAAGTGCAGAGCGTCTTCGTATGGACAGAGAGAAGAGGAATGTGACACTGCGAGCTCGTAAGGCAGCACTCTACGATGAGAAAGCTCAGGTGGGTCAAGCACGCAAGCAGAAATTCCACGAGCAAAAGCTGGCAGCCTATAGGAAGCGTATGGTGGACGAGAACCGCAAGGCCACGAGAGAGCGGATGGCTGCCACCAACATCCAGCGCGTGTATCGTGGCCACTTGGGCAAAATTGCAGGCAAAAAGTGGATGCTGCGTCGACGAGAGATCGACGCTCAACGTGCTTTGGATCATGCGGCAGCCGCCATGTTACAGCGCGCATACCGCGGTCGTCTTGGTAGAATGGCGGCCGAAGACCAGCGCGTGGAGCTTTCCGAGTTTATTTCTCAGATACGAGCGGAGGAGGCCATTGCCGAAGAGGAAGAGTACTGGGAGAACCACAGAATGGAGCGCTTAGCCCGGAAAGTCACAGCGTTCGTCAAAAAGGTTTGACGTTGTCAATCCGCAACAATGCAGCGATTTCCGCAGCCATTGGAAAGGAGGAACCCCTGTAGAATAGAACCTGATTTACCAAAACCTTTAAACTCATCTCACGAAATTACTACATCTGGCTTGGATCGCCCTAGACACATTAGGGCATAAGCTTCATCAAATCTTCTCGCCATTACTCGTGGCGCAGCAAGTCGCTATTTTCTTCCGTGTAAAGAACCTATCCCACTACCAGTGCCATATATATATATGGACCAGGGATGCCGAATATTGCATTTTTATCTATTGCTAATCAAAGCAGAAAATAAATAATTGGGTAAGAGAGCTGGCAAGACCGAAATAGATTATTGAGCTTCCTCAACTCAGAAAGTAGATTATTGGTGCAGCAATATTGGTACACAGCGAGGGCATAAGTACTAAAGAATGTATGGCTGATTGAACACCGCCCAATAGATTATTGGTGCTACAACGAAGCGAAAATTAATAATTGGAATTCCTCTTTACAAAGCCTCCAATAAATAATTGGTGCTTTCTTATTGCAATAATTGCAGCGCCAATTTATTTTTCGGCATCCCTGATATGGACCATACTTTTCTTATAAGAATGAATTCTTGAATTCAAAGAAAAACTTGCTTTTTAAGGAAGAAACGGCCGAGAAAAATATCCAGAAAATGATGGAGCTTTTTTTCTGGATAATTTCCTTTGTAACAAGTCTCCTGTCGCCGGATTGCCGGCGGGAAGTATAGCTGCTTGTGCCTGGTGCTCTGTTTCGCCAAGATCCGTGTTCCTGGCTTCGTTCGTTACGTAACCCAGCACAGAGGCTCAACGCGAGTGCCTACCGGACCAGCTTGCCCTCCATCTACCCGGTTACTATTGCAAGCTTAAGTTTTCTACGGATCAAGCGTACATGTTCCCCGTGAGTACTGGTTCCAAGCGGGCAATCGCGAATCGCCGATCCACGTCGACCATGCGCTTATCGCCAGTTACATTCTTCCGTGCGCAACAAGGTGCTTCAAGGTCTGGGTCTTCTTTCCACCTAACGTCCAGCCGCCGTTCAAGTGGGGTAATAAGGTCAACTCCTTCAGCCGAATGTTGAAAGCAAGTGGATCCGCTGTGGCTGTCCAACGTCCAGGTGATGTCGTCTACCTATACAGCTTGGTGTACCATTCCGTGCTGTTGGGGCTTCTGCCGGAAACACCGCTCCAAAAGGTGGGGAGGGATTTTTGGAGACGTTATCCTCCTTGTCCAAGATCTCGAGGAGTTGCTTAAGTACGCGACACAACTGGCATCCGGGTCAGAGCGAGAGTCGGTTCGAGCTTGGCGTGCACTACTCAGCGCGTTTTGTGTAATGGAAGGGTGTGTTTGGAAAGACTAAAACTACGAAGAAGAAACGAAGATCTATATGGAGAAGCTACCCAAGACGGACAAAACAACCAAGGCTCAACTTTGAGCCAACGCGAAGCGGAACAAAAAGCGCAGTATGGACGAGAAGATGCGCGCTTAACGGGAGAAGAAGAAAGCTAAATCCGGCAGCGTAACCAAAAAATAAAAAAAAATGTCATTTTGAGCTTTATGCAGCTGCCGTTCTAATAAGTAGATGAAATCTCTTGAGGTGGTGTTGTATTTGTTAAACCTTTGCAACCAATATGGCCAGAACCGTGTCACGTGTTATGAAGCAGCAAAACTAAACTATCAAAATAGAATTTTTGCTTCTGGCGCAGCCGCACCTCTAACTCGTCCACGTTGGCCCAAATTCAATTCATATTAAGTGTTTTACCGCTCGCTCGACAAGCTTGCCAGAGCACATCCAGCTAATACCTTTTTATTGTTGAAGTTATTGACGCGTGAAATATGTTGTGTATCCCTTTCTAATTTTATTTGTATCATAAGCAGCCGCGGCTCTTCATTTGTACTACACACGTTGTATAAGCTGTGGATATGTTAATTTCAGCACGTTGTTCAGTTCTGTCAGACGTAATAAGGCGGTATTCATATCAAAGCATAGTTATTCCCATTGCTTTTTGCGTATCAAAAAACGGCAGAAGTGCATTCAAAACAAAAAATTATCTACGCAGCAGACGCTCTATTTTTACGAGCTATGATCCTGTCAGACAGTAGATTATCCGGTTGGCATGTACTTGACACATTGTTAAGAGCAAGTTTTGTCAGATGTGACCTATGTCGAATCTAGTGAAGATCTGCCGTTTTGACGCTCTGTACTTACTACGCAGCCGCTGGTCAAGCTCAATCATATCCGTTCAATTACCGAGCGAGGATGTAAGCTGCTGGACTAGTGCACGCATTAGCCAGAACATATTTACTTCATTCAGCTGTGATCTCATTAGTTTTATCCGCTGTTGTAGCACGTGCGTGGGTCTCTACTAATCTACGCAAAGAGCATGAGAAACTACCGCTGATCGCCCTCATTAAGCGTTATGCTCGGTATTACCTCGTTTTACTCGGCGGTTAACAAATCGATGTTTGACCCCTGCCCAGCCGTGTATAGGTTGATTCGCGGCTCGAAGGCCTGCCAACAGGTAAACACTGGTGCCGTACTTGAGCCACGATCTGCAAGGACACGACTTGGCATTCACACTCACAGTCCATCCTCCATGGGGCTACCCTAAGCGCTCCATCCGCCGGTTGTTCCGCTCGCCTAGCTGCGCATTCTTTGCATTGTCCAAGGGATCAACCCAACTCTTCACGATGTACGCGTCCGTAGATCCACTGCCCAGAATAAACTGAACACGGTGGCGAGACTGTTTCACCAATAGCTTGTTTGCATTCAGGAGATGCTTCGTTCGAGAAATTAGCTGGTCGTAGCTCAAGGGAAAAAGTGAGGCTTGCAATCGAGCGGTGGCGAACCATGCTGATGACCTTCTGGAGCAATGCGCAAAACTTCATCCGGACCCTCAAAGTATAGTCGCGCTTAATCACCTTGTTGAATTGCTCAACAGGGTTGTTGGTCTTGGCAAACCCAGGTGACGACCGTAAGCACAGCCACTTGCTGTATCGACTGTTAAGCCACGTCTTCTGAACGTAGTCAGCAAAGAGTCCCAGCTCTGGGACAGCACGCCACACAGAATTCGATTTAGCAACGATCTCCTCATATTCACGTGTATCTCTTGGGTAGTGCATCTCGTAAATGTAGCGATAAAACAAGTGCTTGGCGTTGTTTGACAGTCCATCGAGACGCTTCTTAACATTTTCAATCACGTGAAAGAAGCACATCAAATAGATTGAATCTGTGTTTTGTGCCAGCGTCTCTTAAAAGTCATTATATTGCGCGTCTTCAGCGTGACCCATGAAGTAGCTGACCAGCAGAGGTCGCCGACTCCATCCTTGTAAACAACCATCAAGTCCCGAAGAGCGTGCGCGTACTGAACTGCTGTACGCTGGGAAGTAATGAAAAAAGCAACTCGGTGACACTGCCGCGCTGAATCCGAAATCCCACAGACCATAAGAGGGAAGCCTTAGTGCACGAGCTTAAACGTAGCATCCATGTGAAATACGAACTTCTTAGGGTCTAGGTTCGCAGCTCTCAAAAGAAACTTCGTAAGTATGCCAATCACTCAGGAATCTACGTCACTACCATCGCCGAAAGCAGGGCGCTCATCGCAGTCCACTTCATATCCAAATGAAAAGGCAGCTGTGTCAGGTAGATGGTCCGAATATGGGCAGCCCGCAGCGATCTCAACCATCTCCTCTACTAAGTCTGTGTTGGAAAGATTGGTCCTCTTGTATTTGTAGACACAGTTCTGGATCTACTTAAGAGCAGGCTGCGTGTCTGCAGTGAGCGTGAGTCTGTCAATGAGCTCGTTTCGAATGCGCGCAGGCTTCACATCTTGCAGAACAAGGTCCTGGATTGTGGCCTTGACCTCTCTTGACAGCTTTGGCCTCGTGCTCTGCCCGCCCGAGGAAACGTGGTGCTCAAGCTGATAAAAGTGACAGAGCTGCGAAGTTTCGCAGGACACAGTCTTCAGCTTAAAGCTGCACGTAGCGCCGGAGTCTAAGCACGGGGTCGGATCCGCATCCGTAGATGCGATAGCGCATTAGATGCTCGTCGTAGTCTGCTTTACACACCGAGCACCGTTTCATCTGACTCGCAAGCACTTTCATGGGAGGGAATGCGTCGAGTCTGCGGTTGACGAGCTTGTCGCCCCGCAGGCTGTCGTGGAGGCACCAGTTGTAGGAGTTTTGCATGCTTAGTAGGGTGTTCAGTTTATTCTGGGCAGTGGATCTACGGACGCGTACATCGTGAAGAGTTGGGTTGATCCCTTGGACAATGCAAAGAATGCGCAGCTAGGCGAGCGGAACAACCGGCGGATGGAGCGCTTAGGGTAGCCCCATGGAGGATGGACTGTGAGTGTGAAT